AGAGTTTCTCTCCCACACACTGACTGTGAAAAGCCTTGATTGGACTCCTTTGTTTACCTCCCTAACATAGTGACATCACTAAGTAACACTAGTGGTTCTATTGGCTAGTTCTCCAATTGGACTCCTTTGTTTACCTCCTTAACATAGTGACATCACTAGGTAACACTCATGGTTCTATTGGCTAGTTCTCCAATACATTAGGAGGCGCTTTCCCAGGAATAGCTCCTATAGTTCCTGGGATTTTTCGTTCACACCAATAAGATCTGGAACTAGAACTTTTTGCGAACCTTTTCACCCCTTTGTAGTCCCTGCTAAGAGCAGGGGAGAAAAAGGTTCCAATTTCTGATTGGCTGGGCGAATTGCAAACCACGTCCCGTAAAAGTTTTTGTGAAGCCGCCATTTTATTTCCTCGCATTATTAGCATTAGCCCAGCGCACCAACAGAGAGAGACTAACAACACAAAATAAAACATGGGATCGGTGGAGTGATGAGGAGGTGTCGGGCTGTCGGCGCTTCTGGCGATTTACCCGGGGCTTCGGGTGGCGACTTACTGCCATCCAAAGTCCCGGACTCCGGGGGGCTCCGGGACTTCGGGTGGCAGTATACGCCGTGAAGTCGTTTGCGGCCTGCCAGTAAACCTAAAGCAGAAGAACAAGAAGTGACGTCAGCGGCTTCATTTGCGTAATCCTCCCTCAGGGACTTATTCCGGTGTGAACGTGATTTACGAGGATAGTTACGCGACTAAAGAGTTCGGCGGGACTAAGTACTGGGAACTAAGTACGGCAAAGTACTTGGTGGGAAAGCGGCTATTGTTCATGATAGATTAAGGGGCAGGACCTCTCTAAGTGGTTGACCAATCACAACAGAGATGGCCGGCTAACCAATCAGAGCAGACTTGGCTCTGGTTTAAGACAGAGGCTGAAAATAGGTGCTGCAGCGCAGGCAGTATGAGAAATAAAGACCTTTTTTTGTAAACCTTTCACAGTAGAGGCACAAAATACAAATATGAACCTGAACATTTGCATCATATTTCCTCTATAATGTGGAGAGGATCTCGGCTGCCCGATCCGATTGTCGTTAAACTCCTATATTTACATGTGGTCCATACCTCCACTCTCCCTCTCCCTCCCCCTCCCTCCCTCGAGGCTTGCTGCTGCTGCTGGTGCTGCTGCTGCTGCTGCTGCTGCTGCTGGTGGGAACAAGAAGAGCTGGATCCCCGCACTGCCTTGTTCTGCCCTTTATAATGGCAAATGGGGATAAATTGTTGTCTTCCTGTCATACACACACATACAAGTCAACCCCACACACACACACATTTACAGAGGAAGGGGGCTGAAATTAGGCTGTCAGCCTGTGGGGAACCATCATTCCGTCATACCAGCACGTTCCCGCTCTTTTTTCTACCTAACCCTTCTCTTTCCCTTTCACTTCTTTTTCCTGACGAACTTGCGTCCCACTCCTGGCTCGAGGCGAAACTAACATCAACATGGGAAATAATAAACCACCCATTCTCCACATGGCGCTTTAAAGCCGCATCTGTTTGCGCTCATTAACCTGACTTGTATATATGATTCAGTTTCCCATTCACTCACTCACTTGGCTCCTCGCTTTCTCGAACGCTCAATCACCAACTCGGCTACTACACAATGTCTTTCTCTTACACCACTTTCTCCTCTCACTCTGCTCCCACAGCCACTCTCTAAACCAGGGGTGTCAAACTCATTTTAGTTCAGGGGCCACATGCACCCAAATTTGGTTTCAAGTTGGCTAGAAAATAAAAATTCATAGCATAATAACCTATAAATAACGACAACTCCAAATGGTTCCCTTTGTTTTGATGTCAAGAAGAATATTCTTAAAATGTTCACATTGAATGATATATTTTTTAACAAATGTAGTCATTTTACATACATTTCCACATCTGTGCAGTAATCCTGACACTCCACCATACAAACTAAAATGGGAACTATTAAGAAAAGAGTTTAAGTTATCCCCCTGACTCGTAACATTTCAAAATGTATACATACCCAATACACAACAATCTGTAATTTTTACACTTTGCAAAGTCATCCCACGGGCCGGATTGGAACCTTTGCTGTGACGGTTTGGCCCGTGCGCTTTATGTTTGACACCCCTGCTCTATAACCCCTTACAACTTTTTAAGTCTACAATAAGTGCACCACAGTTTTAATTGCATGGTCTTCTTGGCGCAACTTAAGAAAGAGCCTTTTCTTCCTCTTTGGATGCATTATGGACTTGTCCTCCAACCTTGATCACTGCAGACAAGAGAACCAGTCGAGTCTCTTAACACAGCGCCTGATTAAAGGGGTGAGGGGTGAGGGCACCAGCTGACTGACTGAAAGGCCGTTAGTGTGAATGAAAAGGCCAGCAGTCTGACGGGAGCAGGTGACTGGCAGGTTAATATATTCAAAGGAGAGCCCCCGGGGGTACATCAGAAAGCCTCGACCAGAGCTCTGGCACGGTCCGCCCAGCACATGTGTGTACGGTTCAAACACATCAACTTTCCTTTTCTTCTTTTCCTTCGCCAGCTTCTTCTCTCCCTTTTTATCATGCGCTCCATCTGCCTGCACTGTCTGCCATGCCTGATGGAGGGTGTGTGTGTTATCCTGTGCATAGCCCTGTTCACAATCAATCACGTAGAGTATTGTGCTCCATTTGGCTTGAATGCATGTTGGTGTGTGTGGATGGGCTGTTTGTGATTGGGGCTGAGGGTCAAGCATGCTGCAGAATAATGTGGGTTGATGTCTGAACACACATATACAATCATACATACAGTAAGTTTTTAATTATTATATTTACTATATAAAACAAATAAATAAATGCAGAATAGCTGTATTTTTCTTGTCTTACTTCAATTTCCATAGTTTTTTCACCCAGACTTTTAATTTTCTTTTTCATGTGACCTCAATTTTTTTCATTTAATTTGTCAACATATTGGCGAAAATGTGTTTCAAAACAACTCTTATCTTTTGAATTGAAAACATAACATTTTGATAAATTCCAGAATGAAGAGTTTGTATTGAAGAACATCTTGAAACAAGGTTATTTTACATCTGCTTCTTCGTGTTTGCGAAAAAATAAATGTTCAGAAATGATGTGGCCTGTGTGATTCAGCTTCTAAATATGTATACTTCCTCACAGTTTCTATTGTTTTCAGAGAACATTCCAGCAGTCCCAAAACTATTACTTTCAAAGACTCACTTTGATGTGAAATGACATAAGCCAAATTATTTCAAATGTCCTCACAGTTTTACAATCGCCGTCACACTGAAATAAACCACAACAGTAAATGTCCCTCAATGAATGGAAAACAATATAAAGTTGCATGTTTTGACGCCCTTTTGTAAATGCGGTATTAACAACACATAACAGAACATTTGTGTGTGTTTGCAGGTGGATAACGATACCATCTGGAATGAGGTCCATTCATCCAGCGCGGCTCGTCTGGCCGTGGGCTCCGTGGTGGAGCTGGTCTTCAAAGTAGCATCAGGAGAACTCAAGGTAAGTTGGCTTTCTCCACTCCGTATGATCCCCAAAGTAATGGCTGAGCTATGTTTTTAGGGATTGGAGTGAGTAAAGGCTAAGTTTAAGAAACATGAAACAAATGTCAGATGTACCCCATCCAAAAAAACAACTTTAAAGGGTTTTATTATTTCAGCCCCTCTTAAAACCACACCTTTAGACTTTAAATTATGTTTTTTACAATTTGTTTGAATTGTAGCAAAAGCTGTGTGGTTATTTTGCCATAAGGTTTGAGGTCTTTAACCAAAAACAATGTAATAAAAATTAATTACATTTATTTAGCGCTTTTACGAATGCTCAAAGCGCTTTACATTACATTGGATAACTCACACGAAAGATTTTTTTTTTACAAGCTATACATTTGCAATACTTTTTTCTTGGCTCTATATATTAATATAATACAACATTTTTTTGTATTTCTTTGATTTTTTTTTATTGTGTAGATCTTTATACACTTTATTACACATAACGCTTTGAGTCTAGCCTCTCATAGCACTAAACTATCCTTCCACACCTCCAAACACCTAGAGAAAAGCAAACCCTCCCTCCACCCTACAGTCTCGTTAGCACCTCCCAGACAGACATCCCCACCCCCCCTCCTGCTTTGCCCACCAGCCAGCCTTCCTGTGTCTGTGGCGAGGGCTGCTTACTGTTTGAACCCAGCAGGGGGGCCTGGAGCACTGGCACTGCACTCCCCACTAACAGGCCTCTTTTATAAGCATTACACCACAGACACCTGCAGAGCAGCAGTCGCACTTAGCGTTAGCTTAGCACCAACTTACTAACCACAGACTAATGACATTCCTCTGAAGGACATGAGCTCACCATATTTTTCACTATAAGTTCTTGCAATCATTACCATGAGGAAATCTAGGTCTGTTCTTCCTATATGGAACATTGTGTGATTGGAGTTTAAAAGGATTACACATCCCAGGAGGACAAACCTTGAACTTTCGGTCAAACATGAAGAATGTAGGGTTAAAGTTCACAGGTATTAACTTGCCCTCAGCTTAACCTCATCTTAACACATACATGCACATGTGTACACATGCACACACATTCACACACACATACAGATGTTCCTCTGAGGATCCTCAACAGCCGAACGACCAAATTCCAGTGCCAGCTACTCTCTGAAGTCTACACAGTGCCATAAATCTACTCATGCACACACGACTATCACTCCAATCACTTCTATTCCCCCCTCCCTTCTATCTTAATACATTGTTACGTATTCTCACACCTACGTACGTACTGTATTACGCGGCTTGAGTTAACCGAGTGTCTGGATCCAGCTGAGGCAGTTGCCTTTACAATAAACTCCCGGCAGGCTGTTAATCCGCAGTAGCTGACTCAACATCATTAGTCCAGCTAGCCTCGCTCCACATCAGCATGGACATCTATCTAATGTCCTCACATAGCAGCGGGTGCCCTGAAAACTATTGCTTGGAGTCCTGCATGTCCACGCCTTAGCAAAGGTCCCCTTAAATGACCCGAAGTAAGCATATGTTTCTGTATGTGTGTCGATACGCACACTTATTGTTTACTCTACCCGTTAGAAAACGTCAGATATGGTGGCATTTTTGAAAAATGAATTGTGATAGGATTATGTTTGGTATTGACCGACACTAGAAGGGAAGTTAAAAGATTAAATCATTTTTGCTTTACATTATTGGGGTCCGAGGAAATGACGGAGTTGAGTCGAAATACCTTATTGGAGCTGGAATAATTCTTCCTACTATTCATTCAAAAATTAATCGCATTTTTTAGGGCCTAAAACGAAACAGGATTTTCTTTTAACACAAAACAATTATTTTACCTTCTTGTCTTCTTCCCTTTTCTTTCTAATAACATTTGTTATTTCAATTATGAACTTTGCCTACTTTTGTTTTATTTTATTTTTAAATACATGAGGTCTACACTTGTCAAAATGTGCAATATAAACAAACTTGATTTTAGCAGGTTTGAGGTCATACAGAATTAGCAAGGACTATATTGGTTTATCTCCAGTAACAGCTTAACATATGTGAATGATTTTCTTTCCCTCTGACAGAATGGTTTTGCTGTAGTTCGACCACCTGGACACCATGCTGAGGAGAGCACGCCAATGTAAGTACATGAGGAAATGTAACCAGCTCATAGATAAGCTCTAGTCTGTTTTATTGCAGCCCTATTATAAATACGTTATTATTATTACACAGTTCCTCCATGCCTTAAATGTATCCAAAATAAAACGCCGTAAGAACATACAGTGTCTTACGGACATTTAAGACACTGTATGTGTCTTTAATGTCACACATACAGTGTGATATTGTATGTGTGATATACCAATTTGCATTCCATGTTGTAATAGTTCTCTGTACAGCACATATTAAAGCTTCTACTTAATTATGCACAGTGGGCATTTAATGTGTTGTTCTTAAAATTAGATTTAATGGCATGACTGTATTTAAGTATTACTAAGCAACCTCTGAAATGTCCAGATTGACCAATCAGAATTGAGTATTCTAATATGCTGTGCAATAATGACTGATAAATGCACTTGCTCTTTTGACCTATAACACTTTTACCTGTGATATCCTTGAATTTACATTAAGGGGCAAATAAAGTATGTTCAACTACATTGAATTACTGTCCATTCTCCTTTCAGGGGCTTCTGTTACTTCAACTCAGTCGCCATAGCAGCCAAGCTGCTGCAGCAGAGACTCAACGTCAGTAAAGTCCTCATCGTGGACTGGGTGAGTTCAACACAAAACACAATGGGTCATTATTACAAAACAAGCTATTTAGAGAATGCACTCTGGTGTTGTTGCGGTGGCAGTTATTTATGTTGTGCTTTCATTAGTTTTATTTGCTTTCAGAAATGGGTAGGCAAGCTACGTTATGAGAGGATAAAAGGGCTTCAAATATTGTCTATTTAGGTCAGACGCTGTCTCTCTTTTGAAAAATGACAAAGCCTCCGTCATGTCTGCTCTTCAGCGGCTTCCCTCACTCGTCATGGCCGTTGCCAAAAGCCTTTGAAGGTCCTTTTCATTTCCTCTGTCTGTCACAGGGGAACTTTTAGTGCAGCTAGCGAACTCATTGTCATGCCCGTCCAGCCATCAGGGGACATTTTTAGGACCGCTTTATTAAAGCATTCTTGGGAAAGAGACAATGAGGTGATTCAACCGATGTTTTTCTGAATAACCTTTGAAGTGTTTTATTGAATCCTGCTGACCATCTTATTTTGACATCAGAGCAGCTGAGGTACCGGTACATGTCTGTCTAGCAGTCTGAGCATCATTCAGTTTGTCTTAGTGCACTAAGTTGTTCAAAATGTACCGATTACACATTTACACTTGTCTTATGACTCTAGAGCTGCTCCCTCATTTTTACAAACCTTGCACACCACTCTCTGTTACATTTGATCCTAACCCATCCCTTTTCAATGTTTCCAGGACGTCCACCATGGTAACGGTACCCAGCAGGCCTTCTACGCAGACCCCAATGTTCTCTACCTGTCGCTGCATCGCTTTGATGATGGGAACTTCTTCCCTGGCAGTGGAGCACCTGAGGAGGTGGGAAAGGACCCCCAGTCCATCTCTCTGGCTGCCTGTCTCCCTTTTGCACAAAGTAACCTCGGTGCCCATGTTTCTTGTGTTGCAGGTGGGCAGTGAAGCAGGCGTAGGCTTCAACGTGAACATGGCCTTTACAGGAGGACTTGAACCTCCCATGGGTGACGTGGAGTACCTGGCTGCTTTTAGGTAAGGCCCTGATATCACATGCTACTTTAGAGAAATATGCTCTCTAATTTTGGTGGTCCCACTGTAGATTTACATACATTGTGGTGCTAAAATATTACAAATCAACTATTGGTCCGATGACAAGTTAGCCTCTTGTGTCAACGGCCAATATTTCGAGGCACTTGTTTTTTCGAGGAAATATCGAAACAAAGGCTTCGTCTTCAATGCGGTCTTCCTTTTGTTGCAGTACGATTAGCAAATGTAGACGTATTCTGGGTTGAGAGCTGACGTTGACAGCTCTCTATATATCTCTGCAAATGAGTGAAAATAAACAAATAAAAGAGAGCAAAGCACTCCGAAATTGGCACTTGTGTTTTGTACCTTATATTTTTAAACTGTTTACCTCCATGCAACCAAAGCCTGCAAAAAATGATTTGTCAAAACTGCTTGGACTAAAAATGGTAATCACTTCAAAAATAATATAATAATAAAATAAATAGCAAATGTGTTCCGAAAAGTGCCCTTCTGTTTGCACATCAGGTTCTTTCTACACCAACTGCTTACCATGCAAATAAAGCCCCCTCAAACATTCTTATCAATCTACAAATCAAAACTGCTCCCCATTTACAAATGTTGTCCAGTTCCGTACAAGTTCTGCATTCTAATTTGTGTATAGGCATTATGCTAAAGGTGTTGATGGAGTGCTCTGTACTGCACAGTTTGACAAACGATCCATTGGGGGCTGTTGAGTATTAAGGGAGCTGCTCCTAATGCCAGGCCTGATTTCTATTAGGTCCACTTTCTAGAGCTATTTATAACCTCACACACACACAACATACGCACACCCAGCTCGAAAGGCATGGACTCACCACAGACATGTTCATGTCTCATCACCATCTCTGGTTCTGGTAAGGAGCAGGTCTGGATTGGTTCCAGCGCTCTTTGAAGATGAACCCATGTTCGCCACCATGCGTCCGTCTGGCCCGATGCCAAACCCTTCAAACCGACAGGCCGCTGTCTTCTCGCAGCCCTCGGCACGCAAACCCCCGGAAGCACACCTCTCTCTGTTAATGCACCCCAGACCCCTGTGTGCCCTCACTTTTTATTGTTTCTTTCCCCTTCATCCTCCTCTTTCCACACATGTGTACATAATGCACTGATGGCAACCACCGAATATATATATATCATACAGACATTATTTATAAGCCATCACTGAAGCCAGTAGCTGTTGCAGTTTCCTTAGAATTCCCAATCCAATTCAGTATTTACATTCATTTGAAAAAAGTGCATGGCCTGTGTGCTAATGGTATTTTTAACCTGAGATAGCTCAAATCAATGTCTAGCTTTGACATGCATGACATCTAGGATTTTATTTTAATATTTGGCTAAAATATTGAATACATATAAATCAAAAAATGAGTGGAAAATGAAAACACCCACTTTTATTCTGATGGACAATATTATATTCTGCTACAATTCTTCACAAATGTTGTGAATGGCAACGGTTGCAGAATAACTCTCCACAGCTTTCTGTGCTTTCTCTGCATCTCCAGGGCCACAGAGGTTGCTGTAAAGGACCACACTTTAGGTTAGATTGAAATAAACATTTACTTTGCTGACTATGCTTTATTTATTAACAATCTATGCTGTCCTTTTTTTAGTTTAATAACAATAGTAACTGCTTGATTATAACGGGCATGTCGGTTTTTTCTTCATTTGTAGATAGATGTGCAGTTTATACATGTTCATTACTAACCTGTATAAGCTTGTTGATAATAACTTATTTATTATTGCTCTTTAAAGTTTTGAACTCTAGCCATTTAGTAGTGTAATAAGTATTCAGATTGTTAGTTCCCATGTGGAGCAAACAAAAGGAAAAACAGGTTCCTGCAATTATACTCAAACTAAATTATTCCTAAATAACCACTTTTTTAAAATACCACTTTTTGTAATTGAGGCTTTAAACACTTAAGTGTCAAGCCCCAGATTAGATAACGCTGATGACATCTTCAGGGTTATTCTTTTTCAAGCTTTGGAAAACCACAGAAGGGATTGTAAAACCTTTTTCACTGGCTGCGTTTTACTCCTTGTGATGATGACTTTGAATGTCATGTTTAAAATTGGAGCGCCCCTTTTAAGTCTTGCAAACAAATTATGTTGGAGATGTTTCATCTGTATTTGAGCTGATGTATTCTTATTAAGGGATGCAGTGCACTTCAGTTAAACCAGCACACTTTGTTAACATCAAATTCAAAACACTTTTTCACACAGTAGTTTTAGTATGTTTGGTCATGGCTGCATGCATGTGGAGAGGCTTTAACTGTGTTTGTATGTTTTATTTATGTAATTGTAGGCTATTAAATGAAAATGATGGAAGCAGTCCAAAGATATAAAGTAAAAGAGAACTCCAGTTTTGGGTGTGTTTCACCTCGGACCCTGGCGCCATTAATCCCCCGAGGCTGTAGAAGCATAGGACAATTCATAGGCCCCAGAGGACAGCAGCAAACCTGTCTCACAGCTCATATATCTACAGTACCACACACACACACACACACACACACACACACACACACACACACACACACACACACACACACACACACGTAAAGCACACGCTCATGAAAATGCAGAGAATCCTGGTTTTCATGAATGAATTAACACAGATGCACAAATGCTCCCACATGCAGCTTTCACATCGACGTGTTTACAACAACATGTGGAACAACACCTGATGCACACAGCCTCTCTTTCTCTTTGAATCTCATTGTTTAACTGTGTGTTGCGGCCCTCTTCTTCCTCCCTCCCAGTCTGTGGGACGGGATACGTCCCTCGCAGCAAGCACCTTCCCATTCCTCCACTGGCCTGTGCCACGTTGCATTTGCAGGGGATCAATTCTAAGCCTCCAGAAACAGAGAGAAAAAAGATAAGAAAATTGGCCCTAATGAAAACCAGAAGCCCCGTCTCTCTCTCTCTCTCTCTCTCTCTCTCATCCTCCTCCTCCCCTCACTCCCTACTTTGCCATGAACTTGGAAAGACGAGAGAGGAGGAGAATTAAACTTAATTCAAACCAGCTCTCCGCAGAGCCAGATGACAGGGCTTTGAAGTGTAAGTGTGCGTGTGTGAGTTTTTCGCTCTCTTATTCTCTCTCTCCTCTACGGCTCTCCTCAACTTTTCTTTTTTTTATGAACGAAGAGGAAAGCCTTGAAGTTCGCAGATTAACCTTTTGTTGACCGGTTTGATGTTTAAAGAACATAGTGTAGATTTTATTTTCGAAAAAGGGTTCTCCTAACCCTTTAGTGCTTGGGTGAGGTTTTATATCTCCAAAAACTTGCTGTTATGCCTTTGCACAACAGAAACACAACACAATATGTGATTACACTTTTTTTAATGGGCCCTATTATGCTTTTTGGTGCTTTCCCTGTTCTGTAGTTTGTTATATAGGTTTAGTGCATATCAATGGTTTGCAAAGGCTTAAATCCCTGTGTCCTTTCCGCCCGCCTGAAACGCCTCCATATTACTCGTGCTTCTTTTGGCTAGCACTCCAAAACATTTTACATGATGTGCTAAAAGTGTTTCTTAGTGTTTGACCAATCACAACAGAGCCGGCCAGCTGACCAATCAGAGCAGACTGGGCTCTGGTTTCAGAAAGAGGGTGAAAAGAGGTGCTGCAGCACAGGCAGTATGAAAACAATAAAGAGCTGTTTGAACATTAAAGCATGTAAACATGTCACAGTAGAGACACTACATACAAATAAGAAGCTGAAAATGAGCATTATAAGGCACATTTAACTTCTTGAAGTGATAATATATGAGTTAGTTAGAATATTAAATAAATAATTGATTGTATTGTATATATTAACATACAACCCTAAAGAAATTAATACTTATCTTACATCTGTTTGGATATATGAAATGCTTATCTGCAGCTTGCGGTCCACCACCAATGCCACATTTCAGCTCTTTGCTCCCCATGTTAGAAACCTGGAGAGCATTGAATTTGAAGGCATAATCAAGATGTTGATAAATTAGGGACTAGAGTAATCACACAAAGATGATAGTCTTTAAAAAGGAAGTTTTCCTTGGCTCAAAATGTTACCACCATGCCAAGACCTACTGCAGTAATAACCGGTGTGAGCACATTTGTGTGCACTTGAAATCCTGTTGGATGAAAATTGCCAAAAGCTAAATGCGCCCATCAGGATCAGAAAAGCAGTAATTTTGAAAATAAAAAATTGAAAAAAAAGGCACTTACTGGGTTATAGCCTTGTGAATGTAATAGACTAATGAATACAGTCTAATTTTAGGAAGGCTTGATCGGCAAAGGGAGATTGTATATTTGTACAGAGGGAATAGTTCAGTCTTTTTTTTCCTAGTGCATCACATTACCCTTTTTTGTTCAGTTTATCGACAAAACTCCCCTCACCTACCATTACAAACACACTTTGGCAGATACTGTTATGCCTTTTTGGTGTTTTCCCTTTCCTGTAGTGTGTTATATAGGTTGTGTGCATGTACATAGTCTGAAAAGGCTAAAAAAAAAGGGGGTTTCTTTCCCGGACACTAGCCTCCTTCCTGAGATGCCTCCATTGGACTCCTTTGTTTATCTCCGTAACATATTGACATCACTATGAAACACGTGCGCTCCTATTGGCTAGCACTACACATATTGTACGTGATAGACTAAGGGGCGGAATATCTCTAAGCAGTTGCCAATCACTACTGAGCCGGCCAGCTAACCAATCAGAGCAGAATGGGCTCTGGTTTCAGACAGAGGGTGAAAAGAGGTGCTGCAGCAAAAGGCAGTATGAGTACAATAAAGAGCTTTTTGAACATTAAAGCACAGAGACATGTCACAATAGAGGCACAAAATACTAATATGAACATGAACAATAATACACAAGTAAATATGCATATTTGTTCAGCCTTACATTCTTTCAGGTCACAAGCCCACATATACATTTCATTAAACCTTAGATGTTTCAGAATACACTCGGTTACAATGCAATAGCTATCCTATAAGGTTATCAATAAACAAATCCCCAAGTACAATCAAATGCTTTCCTGTGTTATCCAAGGCTCTAGAACTAGGACAAGAAAGGTTCCTATGTCAAGTAGAGTGGTACAACAGACATTTTAAATGAAATGTTTTCTAGTTTTAGAAAGAAACATTATTGCAATGGGCCAAGCAGCAGCAAATATAGGATTAGTTGATTTCCAGAACAGCAACAGTGCCTTTTTGTTGATTACTTTTTATGTCTATGCACTTGCGACATAGATTTAGTTTCGATGAAACTCATCCTAATTATTGTCTGTCATTACAGTCTAAATATAATTTTAAAGTAATTTGGCAGATGCTTTAAAGTTTAAGAAGATGGTCCTGATGATGCCATGCTTGGGAAGCTGAAAATTGTAGGACCCAAGTGTTTTTCGGGCCCTGCATTAAGGATTTTGACGATTTTAAACTGCTTCCTGACTGCGACTCCTCAGCTGATACTGACACATGCACCTGTTGCTAAGTAAACCAAACAATACTAAACAAAACGTCTACAATCCATGCTTTCCAAAGTAATTCCACTCAAGGAAAGATCTAGGTGTGAGAGCCAGCATTGGTTTAGATTGCAACCTCTTCACTCAAGATGCCCCGTAGCTTTCCTCACTCGTAAACTCTCCCCTCCCTTAATTAACAGAGAGGCTTTTTCATCTCCACATACATACCCTCTGATTCACACACTTAGTCTTCACTAAAACCACTAGTTTCCCTTCCTGCCAGCCTGCTAATTGATTACTGTGGGTTTTTATTTCCTTAAATGTTAGGATGTTGTTCCAAGGGATGGGGCTATAACTGATGACACCAGCAGGATTCCTCATCATGGCCAAAGTTGTCTCTGTTTGTGTTCAAGTTTAAAGAAGGGGGTTAGGGGAGGACCTCAGTTGTTAAAGTATCCTTGGCGGTCAAGGTTTCCCCAATTCGCCGTGTGTCAGCCCACATGCACGCCTGTGGCCAACTCCCTTTAGTGTGGGGTCTTTTATGGACCAAATGTTAATGGCCAAGGATGTGTGTGAATGTAAGTTTGAGTAAGGGAGAAAGTAAGAGGAGGGAAACCTTCAACACATGTGATAAAATCTGAAACTAGAGCTAAAAAGTCTGATCGTTAATTTCACTTAATTTTGTAGCGTGTGTTGTTGACTCCCTTTTAAAGCTCTTGAACTGATGGAATAACAAATCATGTTAATGTATAATTTTAAATCTTTCATCCACTCATTCATGAATTTACTAAATCTGAATTATTCCATATTTTCATTTAAATTCCTCCCCCTAGGTATCTAATTTATTTTATTTTATATTTCCATATACTGTAGTTTTAACTCTATTACTCAACTTTGTTTTTCCTCCTTCCTATTCCTTCATCTTCTTACATGATGTTTTTCTCTGAAATATTGCCAGATGCATGCTAACATAGAGTGACGCACGCACACAGTGTATCCTTTTCTGTCTGGGACTACCAAAAAGCTCCTAATACTACCTCCCGCCTCTCCCTCAGACAGCTGTGTGTACGCATGGGTGTTGTGTTGTGGCGGGGGGTGTGGTCTGTGCAGTTGAGGGTTATAATTTGGTGGTATAAAAGGGCTGGAAAAAACGGTGGCCCTCCGGAGTTCAGGGCACGCTGCTTGCCCACAGCCGGCAAACCATCACCATGTTCCTGAGGTCGGCAAAGTACAGAGGACCTACGACGGAACCCTGCGGTACTCAGTCACTCGCCGACCTCAGCAAAACACTGCTCGCCCAAATATCCCAGACCCCCGGAAAATAACGTGTAGGCTCTGAGCAAATCAGAGCAAACCACTGGTTTTGCAATTTGGGAAGTCTATATCTATTTATGAACTACATACTCATGAGTCATTATATATTTTTCTTAAAGAAATACATATATTTCCTTTTCTAGAATTGGATTAATGTCTTTCATTTAAAAAAGAAAAAGTCATGTATACCTCCTAAAATTGTTTTATGAAACTATGAAAGTTCTATCAAGCTAGTCTAATTTCATGTGATGAGATCTAATCTTGTGTAGAACACAAATATCATATGATGGTTGTTTTTTCCAACAGGGTCATAAACCAGACTTTGTTTTCGAACCACAATTTACAGTGAATGACAACACAGTCATACTGTTCAGTGGATTTATGTGTATGTCAAATTGCATACAAGCACTCCCTCCCTACCAGCTGTGTGTTATAGGAAGGTTATACACAAATGGCACTCTTTGACCACACCTATCCAGGATCAGAATGATTGTGCAACATGCAATTAAATCCATCCTTCAATTTGTCCTCTTTACTTAAATATTTTTGTACTATATTGTTTCCTAAAACTTACGAAAGACTGTTGTCATTATAAAATATATAGTAATAAAATATAAAGTAAAATATATGTTTAAGGGTAAATTGATATGTCTTGACATTTCTTTTAAAGGTAATTTCACTTAGTGATGCTAAAAGAGGCAATGACCATAGACATTGCCCTCTTCACTTCTTGTACCCCTTGATTTGCTCTGTATGTTCAGCTCTGACTGACAGGTTGTTAAACTTGCACCATTTTTTATCTTGGCTCTATAGGCTTTGTTGTTTTGGTAACTCTTGTGAGCTGGTTTGGGAGCTGTTTTTTTCTATCTTGGAAAATGTATTTAATATATTCTGAAGCAGTTAGTTCTATTTTTTTCCAATACAATTTTAATATATGCAGCTTAACAACTTCCCTTTTTTTTTATTTAAAAACAAAAGTGCAGTTAAAATTCCAAGCCAAACAAAACATTTTTGATCAGTTCATGTTTGGCTGCATGCAGCCCAGTTAATTTGTCATTCAGCCAGCCTATTAAACTTGCAGCTGCAACAATATCTGTTAATGAAATGCAGCAAGACTTTTTAATAGTCTTGATTTAGAAGGATGTGACTATCAGCAATCTTCCTTAAAGAAGATGTGTTATCCCTCACCTGTTGTGTGTTATACAGGTTGTTGTGCATGTAAATAGTCTGGAATTACTAAAACAGAGAGGTGAGAGGTCTGAGGAATCTTTAAACATTACATTAAATTATTATCATTATTTAAATATATGAATTATGCAACACCCGCAACCCGACCCGCATCTTCTTTGTTTTACCCGGGGTTACCCGACCCGATGCAGGACTCTGATCACCGCATCACCCGCTTGTGACTCATCGTTCCCACTAAAGTAGGGGTGAGTGTAATAAGGAGGCAAAGTTGACGTTCAGTGTGTTGCCGCGAGCATATAAGGATTTATCCACGATGTTGAAAATGTTAATGTTAATGTTGAAAATGGTTTAAAAAAGTTGTTGTTTAATGTTTTAAGGAGGTGACGCTACTCAGCCAATCAAATCGGTACTGTCAGTGAGTCAGCACGATAGATTTAAACACACACACACACACAGAGACGAGACAAGAAGAGAGAAACAGTCGGAGTCATTTCAAATGACGTTCTCATTGCATTATAGCAACAACAACAATAATAATAAAAATACCAATAATAATTGGGAGGTGGGGCGCAGCTGTTTTTATGTTCTCTGAGGGGAGGCTCACCTTCCCACACTTTGAAAACCCCTGGCTTATATGACCTCTCTTATACAATATATTATTTTGTTGACATTGTTTTTCTCTAGGACGGTGGTTATGCCGATTGCCAACGAGTTTGCCCCTGACGTGGTTCTGGTATCTTCAGGCTTTGATGCGGTCGACGGACACGCTCCACCCCTGGGAGGATACAAACTCACAGCCAAATGTAAGTACTCACCACAGTTACCCTGTTAATCATTCTCTGTTTACTAAGCCATACATACACATTTGCTAAAATAACTTGCATACAAATGTTAATGCATGAGTCTCACACATGTCGTTAGTATCACTTTGCCTGTGCAATTCAACAGGAACGACTGACAGACGCACAAACACAAGCCCCTGTGTTTATTTGTTCCTTCTGACTTTCAGATTGAGACCTTGGCATGCAAGCAAAGAGCTTGTCTAAAATCTCAAATAAGAGCAGGGGTCTTGGTAGTTAAGGGGGTGATATTGGTGGTTAGAGAGGATTGCAGGAAAAGGGGATATGGGGAGAATTTAGGGGAGAAAAAGTATGTCCCAATGCATATATCAAAGCTCCCCTCCTCCTGAAAGAAAAAAGATCAAAGACTGCGACCAACCCTAAATGCAAAGCCGCGTTTATTAAAATTAAACCTGGCTCATATTATAGTTTGTGTTTTGGCCCCAAGTAAATCCATGGTTCACTCTCTTCCTCTCTCTGATGCAGTCACTCCTTTTCTCAAGCCTCCTATTTCTCTTTTTTTCTTTGATCAATATCCAAAAAGGAAGTTAGAGCTTGAACAGCAGTATTCATTATCCCTCCCTTTCTTTCCTTGCCCTCTATTTACTGTCATTTCCTGTGCATCCAGGCTTCGGCTACCTGACGAGGCAGCTGATGGCTCTGGCAGGCGGTCGCTTGGTGCTTGCCCTGGAGGGGGGTCACGACCTCACAGCCATATGTGATGCCTCCGAAGCCTGCGTCTCTGCCCTCCTTGGCAATGAGGTAAGATGAGAGCCGAGAGGAGGAGAGATAGATTTCTATCAAAATAGCCCAAAGCAAGGCACTAAGACTCAACAAATACATACATATGAGATCAAATATGGACTGAAGTTTATGATCTGAATACTCCAAACATAAAAATGTAGGGATTGGTTCATCCCTGCTGCGTAAAAAGGCCTATTACTTTTGTAATGTGGGTGGTTTCCCTGAAACTGTAAATTATTTAGATTGTACAATTACTGCTATAAGATATGCAAGGAAACTTTGTGGTTTTAAAAGTCAGTTCAAATGAATGAATCAATAAGCAATATTAACAGCCACATCAGTGTAGTTTTATGTTTGGTTGCTTTGAAGTGTACATGCAGGGCTTCAAGCAGATGAAGAGCATCTGGTTTATTTGTCTTGTCAGCGTGAAATGTTTAGGTCACTCAACTTGCTTCTGATTTTTATTCCCGGCTACATTTCCAGAAGCAAGTCATTGAGTGAGCATACAATTCTAATTAAAATGTTTCACATTCATTCTTACGCTAGAACTGAATGAACACTTAAGAGAAGATGGCAACGGAAATGTCTTTAACCGCCAAACACATTAAGGGTTCAGGATAAGGATTTGATGGACTTGTTACCTAGATATCTCAGAAAACAGTACTCTTTTACATGGGCCAAAACCATCTCTTCCACTCAGAGAGGAAGTCAGCGCAACACACACACACACACACACACGCTACACAAAGACAGACAGACACACGCACAAACACGTCAGAGGGAAAGGATTTCCAGGCAGAAGGTTAATTGTGGGAGTGTGTCGGTTGGGCCATGGAACAGAACAAACATCGGCGCTCTGTGATTCATGGCGCTAAACAGAATAGCATCTCCTCAAAGACGCCCACTCTTTTCTTCCAGCTAATGAAGAGGCTGGAGTGCTTTTTTGGACAGGCTGCTCAGACTCGTTTTCTCCCTCCATTATCATAGGTCCAAGATATCTCAGTCCTTATATTTTCAGGACTGCTGAATTGTGGTACCGTATGAAGATGATGAAGCTTAAGGGCAATAGAAGAGTTTGCGAGAATGATTTGTGCATACTTGTGTCTCCAAAGTCCACTCGTCGTAATCTGTTGCTATTTTGACCACAAACCATTTGATCTCTTAACACTAACACTGGACAAAGAAATGCACTTTTATCTCGCCTCGCTTTTTCTAACCTTGCCAAGTTATTTTTCTTGAGTGTGTCTGAAACTGCGGTGGGATAGATGCTGTGGCTTGAGGGCTTGGAACTCTATGCATCCTCAGTGAGTTTGCTGTGATTACACATTTTGTCTTTAAAGAGTCATCACATGTCGCTAGGGTCTATCAAATTCATTTAAATGCTAAAGGTGGATGCAAAATTCCCAGATATGTTCAAAGACCACTTTTTTAATTACACCTTAGAGCACACATGTCAAACTCAAGGCCCGCGGCCCAAATCCGGCCTGTGGTAGATTTAATTTCGGCCCGCAGGATCATTTCTAATTACTATTAGATCTGGCCCGCCGATATATTGCACGCACACCTTCACTCAAACCTGAGGATCTCCTCCGCAAACATTGACGAACTTGCACCCAAGATGAGATGCCAAGTATCTTGCTTGAACTAGCATCACAGAGCAGCAAACTGAGTTTCAATGGATGTTTCCTTCTGCACTTTTGTTCTTGCGGCAACAGGGCATGTTTGTTTTTTTCTTTGAGGGAAATCCTTTTTTTGAAGCTGTTGTTGGCCTCTGGAAAAATGTAATCATAAGAAATGACTCCGGAGAAGCTGCAGATAGAGCCATAAGAAATGAATGCAACTGATTATTTAATGTTTAATGTTGTTTTTATAGGCAATCATTTAAGCTTTGTTAGTTCCAGGTTTAATATGTGCAATAAGTTCATTTCAATACGTTTTGCAATAAACATTGAACCAGTCCGGCCCTCGACTAGTACCCATTTTAAAATGTTGGCCCACTGTGTATTTGAGTTTGACAGCCCTGTCTTAGAGCAATAATAATAAAGTAAAGAGAACAAATGGAGATCTATATTTCCCCATATGTAGCTCAACCATTAAAGCAATCATAAGCAAGTTGACACCAATAATTCCAAATAATCACATCAAATCAAGATTGAATAATATCCAGAAAGACACGCTTGCATTATTTTCATTTATTTAAAAAAAACTGTAAAAATGTTGTCCCGGGAATCGGCCCACCCTGTGTGCTGGTTGCATTGGAATGGCAGGTGTACCTGCTAAAGCCATCAGCATATGCCCAGTGAGACATGCAGGACAGTTATACTAATGCATAAGGGTATAGGCTTCTCATTATGTTCATACATCACTTTACAGAGCATAACGTGGGACTTGTTGTTGGCTCATCATAATAAGCTGTAAGGATGAATCGATGTAGAATCGTAAAATACAGTTTTGCGGTATGGTTAAAGATTGATAGTCTTGCTATTGTCTTTGTTTCAATATTGCCTAACATTAGCGCTTATTAAGTTTACACTTAAAAAATTCAGAAAGCATTCGCCCTTCCATTGCACAGAAAAAATAGTTGTTGTGGTCAGTTTGATCTATCCAATGAAGAATGTCCGTCTTCCAAACATATCAAGCTTGCGTGAAAAAGAAAAGTTAGCAACTGGACCTGTTTATCTCTGAATCAGTTTCTGCCTTGTTGAAGGTGGTATCTATGACTTCCTAGAACTCTTGTTCCAATCCTGCAGACACAGCTAGAGCTATAAATGGGTTCTTGGAATCGTTAAAAGACAAGAAAAAATGACATGACCTTGTTCCATGTGGATCTTGGAGTGCGTGCAAAACAAACAGAACAATAAAGAGGATCACATTAATAAAACTCAGTAACTGAGATCAACCAGTCCATTGTGTTGTGCAAGACGAAGAAATTGATCAGACAGATGATCCAAGTGACACTGGACAGGGAAAAAGCACTATGACGTGCAAAACCTGTGAAAGAAAACAAACAGCTCTGCTCAAGCAAAGTTTTGCATAAGAGAGGAAATGCATGAACTTGAGGCTTAATCTAATAACTTAATTATGTTTACCTGCCCTCTGATGACTCAAAGTTATTCAGAGTTACATTGCCATTACAGCTGGTAAGGATTCAGGAATTCAAGGACACTCGGGCAGGGCGGATGCTTTTAGCTGTCACAGAGGTTTGTGCTCAGGACTTCCAGTTGGAAGGACGCTCTCTCGTTACTCACAGCACAGCTCTGCTGCAGAAATAATGAAGTGGATCAGGGGGTTTGCTTCTTGGGTTTCAACAGCCTGCAGAGCACCGGCCTCTGCAGGGGTTTGGTAGGAGGTCACTGGGTGGGTGCCATAGGGAGCCGAACATTTGAAAATAGGCAGGAGGCAGGGATTGTCAATTGCCTCCGCTCTGCAGGATACCCCTCTCAAACTCTCACCCGCAGCCCCCTGACTGGTACACAATCTGAAAATGGTTACCCTCACACCTCTTCGAGCAGGGTCAGCTAAGGATCAGATAATAAAATGAGATGGAGGGCTCATTTGAAGAAGGAAGGGATGATCCTATTGTAATAAAGCAGCTGCACTGAGAGCAGCACATATGCAGGTTGTGAAAGTGTGTAAAGGTATGGAATACAATCCTTTTTAGGATTTTCAGAACTACAATTCTGAGAATACATAATTCTTTACATTGAAAACCCACCCTATACTCCAGTAAACTTCAACAACCACAGTTTTCAAGTGCCATAGTAGGATCTCTCAGATTCTGGGAAATGGATTGTTTCCGGAATGGAAACATTGAAAGGTATCATGACAGAAGCCTTAAAGTAAGAGTTGTACTGCATGCCTCATTAGCTAAAGATGGCTTTGATAAAGTGATGAACAACACAAATGTAGATGTTGTCGACTTGAACCACAGACATGGAGTTCTCATGACATGCTCCGTTTGACTTTTTGGCAGCAAGTGATTTCAGCTGGTTGAACAAAGGCAGATAATTTACTTGTTTGAGCTTTGATAACTGATAGCAAAAGAAAGAGAGGCTAAAATGTCCCTGATCAGATCAAAATGGCAGGAAGCAAATGTTTTTATCACAATCTCAGCGAAGGTCTCTGTAATGGACTAGGAATGTAGCTGGAAAACGTCAGTGAGGGACTGAGCTGGAGGGAGATAAAACAACTGACGATTTTCTGTGTTTTTTTTATTTGCTGACAAATGGCCTAAGATGGCAAATGGAAACAGAATAGGAAACAGTGCAATAGCCTCACCAACCAGATTGAGCAACAATAATCGTTGTTTTGCATTGCATTCAGGTGGCCAATAAATGTTGGACTTGTTTGAATGTGTCCACTGATGGAGTTATTTCTAGACGATATATTTTAGTTTTTTGCATGTGTGTTGGCTCACTGTGAATGGAGCGAATGAGTAGGCTGAGGCATGGGACCACAGCTGGATTAGCTGCTCAGCTGTGCTTTTGTTTATAAAGTTTCAAACTGCCTGATGGATTTGTATTGTCTGGAACTCATCCCTGTAGCATGTACTGTAGCTTTACCATGAAGTATGGAAAAATATAAGGCACATGCCAGTAGGTCTTGATGTTTTTCTACCAGTTTGGACAAATGGCAATATCAATGGTTCCTAAAACGAACATACTGGATTGGTTTCGTGGCATTCTAAAAAGGCAGATTTTAGGGGCCTTCATAAACTAGTGCCAAAACATCCTAAAGGTGTTCCTTATACCCTCTTCACCTCCTGTTTAGCTTTTACTTCCAGTGTTTTACTGCTTGCTGGTGTGAGAAATATATATGTGCTTTTATTGGCAGGTTAAGACATGCTTTGCTATAATGAGCATTAGGTTTCCTTTGAAAGCAGCTCAAATTAGCTGGGAAAGAGAGGGATGAAAATTGCTGAATGGACTTTACAAGCTCTTTTATTCACCCCCATCTCTGTAGTGCGTAATCGTGAAGTCTTTTTAGTTAAATAGCTCATGAATGATGCATTGGAAGCTACACCAGTCAACTCTGAACTCAGGACTAATTGATGATTGCTCGCAAACAGATGTTGGCCCGGTTCGAACCACGGTTGTTAGCAATTATTTGATAAACAACAGGCTAATATGCTAATTGGTACCAGCTGTCAATGAGGTTACTCGGTGTGTTTACACTCCAGTTACAGTAAGACGCTCGACTTCACCTGTCCCCCTCAGGGCCTGACTATTCTTCACCAAGCCCCCCCGACTACAAGGCAAACGTACACCCCTTTTCGAATGCACACAAAACACATCATTACCTTGTTCAGTTAGCATAACATAATCAACCGGTTTTAGTGACTGCCAACATATGCACATGGACACAACAGTAAACAATGGAAGCCTTGTGCACCTCTCATTTTGCTAAACAAGTGGATTTCCTCCTCTTCCAACTGTTTTGGTTCTGGCCTCCCTGTGGAATGTTTTTACCGGGGTACATTCCTCACTCTTGGCTCATGGCTTTCCGTGTTGGCTAAGACCATGTGCGTTGGACGGCTCTGTCACACAGAGAACTGAGAAAAATCAGTCAACACAGCGACCGCAAACCATCGTCAAAAGAGGAAATGTACCACATTTGGATGTCCAATCAGTGTTGATGATAACTGTAGTCTAATTAAGTAAATCAATTCCTCAGCTGGTGCTATTTAGAAATGGCAAAATATATTATTTTTCTGCATTCAGCGCTGTCATTTGAGGACTAGGGCTGGTAACTTAGCTTGTTTTTATCTGAGCCGAAAGTGAGTTTTATTGTCAATTATTGCAAAGGTAAGCTGAATTGTTGAGTAAGGTGAATAGGTAAAGCCTTTTGGTTAACACTGGGTTTGAACTACACATTTTTTATTACCGTCTTAAGTATAATTTTAAGCTGGGTGTCAGTAGCTTGCGTGCAATGCATCCTGGTATACGTATGCACTGCAAGCACAACTCAGGAGAACTTAGCTTTCTCTGTTAATATAACACAAACTGATGAATTTATTGCTTCAATCGACTACATTTACCATCAACACTGATTAGAAAACCACATAAAAGGTAGTGAATTTTCCCTTCAAAGGAACCTCTCTGTGAAAGCCTGCAGCACATCTGATTAAATGAAGATGCAGGAGTCCAGGCAGAGCCATGACCACAAACCCAAATAAACAGAAATGTCGCTATGGATGATGTGGCAGACAAATGTGTGCTTGTGCGTTTATGTGCAAATGTGTGTTGTCATACCTGCCAGGTGGAGGCCCCTGGAGTACCCTGACAAGAGCCATTAAAGTTTATAAGCGTGAGCCGCCGTGAGGCCCAGCTGTCAATCAAGCTGACAGGCTGTGCCCCTCCAACCTTGCTCTGAAGTGAACCCCACAAAACCCCAGAGAACCCCTGACCCTGCTTTGACAGGGAGCTGGGATAGTATGGGCTGGGCAGGGCTGATCTGGGAGTGGCTAAGGTTATGGAGGGAAGTTGGCGGCTTTTGCCCGAAGGTTGAAGTTTTCGACAGAAAGATTGATGGTTTGGGTCCCCAGAGTGGCAGGGAGATTGCGGGATGCTAGTGATGAAGAAGTACTGCTCTCTCCCCCCTGGGCCACAATCGAAGTAATCCGGACTGGATGAACCTCTTTGGTTTCTAGAAGATGATCTCCATAGCTGACAGCTCTGGGCAGCTCCCACTTGTACTTGAGTGTTGCTCTTTGCACTCAGACCAAAAAAACTCAAGTGGTTGCCTTGGTGTGGGGGTGATTCTTTCCAATGGCTTAGTTAGTAAACACTAGAACTATATCATCCACTTGAGAAGGTAATTCATCAGCAGTGTATGCTTGCAAATATTTACTTGGTCAACATCTTCTGACAACTCTTGCTGGACCTTGCCTTTTATTGCCTGGAGGCTCCGCACTTTTGTCATGCCGCACACAGACTAACACTGAAAAGTCTAATTGGACAATTCTCTGTTCGCTTCCAGTTCTTTATAGAGAGAGTGGATCATCAAACGGAATGCTTAAAACCAATAGAATAGACAAATGGCTACCAGGCAGGTGTCTTTCCAACTTTATTGTTTCTCAATAGCATATACAAATATGTCTGACTTATCTGACTTATCTGACTTATCTTGTTGTGGTTAATCCCATATGTTATAGCCAGAAGGCCCTTTGTCGGGGCTAACGTACCGTATTTACTGTTAACAAAAAGCATTTGACAGCAGCTTAAAACTCTAGCAATGTGTAGAAAAACAGTTTGGTTTAAGTGATAGTTGCAAGGATAAACTATTGAGCTTAGAGAGTTTGATGTACAGTCACAAAACTAAATATGCACCTACATGCAACATGTTCTTCTAGCAATTATGACACTTGATGGAAATGTTTGCCTTTGTTGCCAGAGTGCAAATAACCCAATGTAAATATATGTCTGTGTGCACGCACCTCTGTACGTTCCTGTGTGCCTTATGTAGTCTATCGTGCCACAGCAGGATTAAAGTATCCCTCTCCCCAGACTGCCTCTTCCCTTGGCCCCCACTGACCCCTCCCACACACTATTTGTTTTAATTTAAGGAAACTTCCAGCCTTTGCTAAGCGAGACCGACCGACGATTACTTTTTTCTTTTCTCTCTGGCATCCTACTCCCAATGCTCTTGCCAAAACCTTTTTTCTTACAATCCGTGTATCTCTCTAAATGTTTCTCAGTTGGGCCTTTAGTCCCAAAAAAAAGGGTGCGTGTCGTCTGTGTTTTGAATGTTGATCTGAATGGGCCCGTTTGACATGAAATGGGATGAGAAAGTGTCCTATGTGCAGTCGGCCAATGGGGAAATTGAATCATTCCGGGTTGGAAAGGCACATTTGGGAATAGCCCTGTTTCCTCTGAATTGTGGCTTGGAGAGATTCAGAGACTTGCTCCCTGTGGTGTGTGTGTGTTTGAGTGTGTGCATGAGTATACATGTGTTTGTTTGAGCAAGTAGGTTCCCATGTGTATGCATCTGTGCACGCTTGTATGTTTCCTCAGAGTGGGAGACAGTACAAAGCACATATTGTAGTTGGTGTCAAAGAGTAGGAAAGCTCTCGCTGAGTGGGAGAAGGTGTGCATCTGCAGGCTCTCTTTCTATTGTGTCAGCAGCTCCAGCTTGTTCCCCACCTCTCGAAGTGATTCAACACCGGGCTGTGGTCCACATCCAAAAGTGACCCTTTAAACCAGGAGGGAACCACGTTAATTCAAGAGAGGCTCCTGCTGTGATTTGGAGCAGCGTTTCTGAACACCTGTCAGTCACATTCAGAAAAACACTTATCTGGCTGTATTCAATGTATCTAAAAAAAGCCTTTAGTAATTTAATACACCTAGCTGATGTTCCCAGTGGGTATAGGTTCAGTGCCAAGTTGTCCGCCCTGCAGCAGCTACATTTCAGTGTCCTAAATATTCTCAAAAATGTGCTTAATGGATTATTTCATTGATTGATAGATTGATCTTATTTTCTGTTTGTTTCAGTTGGACCCCATTCCTGACGAGGTACTTCAACAGAGACCGAATGCCAATGCTGTCCACTCTATGGAGAAAGTTCTTGAAATACAAAGTGAGTGGATTAGTTACACAGAGACAAAACATTAATCATCATTTTTGTGATTTGACCTTATTGAATGATATTTGGTTTAGGTTTTCGATGGATGACTGTATCTGTGCATATGAAGTACTATATTCCCGATGTAATACCTCAAGAGCCTCTCTGTGGTGAAGTGGCCCATGATGCACAGCGGTACTAACCAAGTTTTACCGTGTTCCGGTCTTTTGTAGGTAAATACTGGCGCTCACTGCTGCGCTCCGCCTCGACACTCGGTTGCTCTCTGAGCGAAGCCCTTCGGTGTGATGCAGACGAGGCAGAGACCGTCTCAGCTATGGCCTCACTGTCTGTCGCCAACAAACACATCGGAAAGAGGTATACGGTCTTATCCATCTCAAGTTGTTCCCAATGACTGGTGATCCTTAGTTCAAGTTTGAAGGAGTCATTCAACCTTTTTTTAAATAAGCACATCTCTTTCTTGCTGTGAGATAGATATTTAGTTCAGTGCTAATCAGAGAGATAAAGAGGTGCTCTCAGATGTTGTATATTGACAAGGGATGTTATTGTGGATGCTAAGCTAACAAGCTGCTATCTAAATGTATACGCTACAGCAGGGGTCGGCAACCTTTTTGATATGAAGTGCCATTTAAAAAAATAACATCTGATTAGTGTGCCGACGTTCGTGAACTGTAAATGGGGGGGGNGTTGGATTATGACAATGCGCAAGTCATGCTTTCCAGAATCTCACGGGGGGGAGCCTCGCAGCGGGGAAGCTGTGGACCTCTGTCGCCTTTCAGCGCAACTTGCATGATGCCGTTTAAACAGGCGGCTCGGTTCACTGACGGCCGGACGTACTGTGATTCTCCAGAACACACAGTTGGCCAGTCCGCCCCTGTGTAGCATATTATTTTCGATGACAGATGAGCAGATCGCCACTGGGCTTTCAACTAAAGACACCGCCATGCAAAAACTGCGGCATGTACAGCTCCTTATGAGTACTGCAATGTGTGAAGTGCGCCACACCCCTGGTCGTTTCACCATCATGAAGGAAAGCAGCAGAAAGTCGACTGGAGTTAAAGAGAGCGGGGCCTTTAACTTCTGCTGGGGGAGACGCGCTCTGCCGGCAGTCTCGTTCAGGATCCAAAAACACAGTTTAAATATTTGTGCTCACTTTTTCCTAGTGTGCCACTGGTTGCCGATCCCGCGTGCCAATGGTGGCACGCATGCCAGGGGTTGCCGACCCCTGCGCTACAGTGATGATTATCTTTTTATCTAACTCGTCAGGAAAGCAAATAAATCATATGACAAATGCTTAATGTAAAACAATGACAGAAAAAAGTGAGAAATGTTGTGTGCTTTAGATTTGAAAACACATAAATGTTGGTAACAAGGACTGTCAACTTTTGAAGTGTTATGTGTGTTCCATTAAGTGTCCTTTTGAGAACAAAAAACCTTTGTACATAGCCCCTAACTACCTTTCTTTTCACTGTAGTTAATGTATTTTGTATTATTTTCTATAGCATTTACACTCCTTTAAAATATACAGTCATGGTACTGTAAGCAAATCTTTTCATAACATTGTCTATTTGATCTTTTTCCCAGGGCTGAAGAGGAACCAATGGAAGAGGACGCTGTAATGTAAAGAAAAATCCCTAGCCTTTGACCACTCACACCAGTCTTTATCTTTGACAGTGTCGTCATCCTGTCAATTGAAATGCCACTCCTATGTCTCCCGCCTGCCACACCAAGATGGCATCTTTTTATGAGAGAGAACTAGCAGTGGCACTCAATGGAAACGGAACACTGAAGATGAGCGATGCATTCGCTGATCAGCAGTGCACAGACTGATCAGCATAAATGTGTTGTCTCTTGGATTTAAGAGGATTGACTCAGCCATCCCGCAATGACAACCTCGAGTGCCAGTGCTTTTAAAACAGTCGGACCAATACACGTCGTTGTCTACTTTTCCTATTGTTCTGTTTTTTCTGTGCTTTATCGTCACACTTTCATTGAAAAACAACCCTGCTCTACGGATGGATCATTCCTGCTCTTTTAAGATATCCGGATAATTGGGACAAAGTGTTCACATTTGTTGCCGTTTTCCCTGAGGGGTTGAAGATAACATTATGGAAAATGTCGGCGATTCAAATGACTGACAGTGAAAGACGTTTGTGCCTTTTTTTTCAAACCTGGTGGATTTTTTCTTGAAAGAGCTTTGCCTTAAATAACAGGTTTGGGAAGAAGTCCTCTCTTCTCCCCAACTCCTTCAACTTTTCTATCTTGGCAAGACATCCGATGCCTGCATGTTGTTGGCACATAGACCTTGGCATGTTTACCAATATTTCCCTGCAGCCTACTGTCTCTCCCTTTGCATTCATCTTTCCTTTATTGCCTTCATTTGAATGATGGCATTGTAGAAGGGAGTTCTCCGCCACAAGTTGGAGGTGGTTCACTTAGAGGAAGTTAGTAGTAGTTCTATGTATCAGAAACCTGAGTAAACAGCTTGAAGGGCTTCCTCAGACAATCTTGTCATTCAAGCTTAGGTTCCAATCAAGCTAAACTTCTACTCGGTTACATTTAGGTAACAAAACTGTTATGTTGGGTAAAAAAGTCACGGTTTGGCTTTGAAAAAGTAAGTTAGTTGGATAATTAAGTGAAGGACGTTAGTAACAAAAAAGGTCCGCTTTGACTCTGGTTTCACAGAGGACCCAAACTGTGGGCCTCTTGGATCAAAGTTCTGTGACACATTTACCCATGAATTAATACTTCCTCCAAAGGCAGACTTCTGCTGACTTCCTTAAGAAACATACTTGTAACACGTTAAAAAAAAACCTGGGGAAAATAAGTGTCACTTAAAACGTATTAGACAATGCAGTTTCGTTGTAGGGGAATGTCATGTTTAGGGAACCACGCTGTCTGTGGATCAGCATACATGTTGCATCAATCAACTTTTTCACCTTTCTTACATCGCAGCTGATTCAGTCTAATGTCGGGAGGTGCAGGGATGCGAATGTGCGCCCAAGTGACGCGGCATTAGAGTCTCCTGCCAATGGCCAGAAAGGATAGGTACATCTTAATCACAATGTACTGCACTAAAGCAACAGGACTTTAAGTCTATGTATATACTGTATGTAGTAAATACACAACATTAAACCTAATAGACTTTCTCTGTTGAGTCAAACCACTTTTTTTACCTAATAACCAGTTTCTCGTTTCTGAGATGAATGAGGGAAATTGAGAAATTATTCTCATATGGGCCAATTTGTTGAACCATCCCTCTCTTTAAAACAACGGTGTCTCCGTGGTAACAATGACCAAACCACCTGGGATTTTCCAGGGGGGTGTTCCAGCCCTGCATGGGCTCCCACAGCTGGTTTAACATCTGCAGTTCCTTGTTAAGCAACATCTGCTGCCCACATGTCAGGTACTATGAGGCAGGTGTGTACATATGTTCATACACAGTGAAGCAAAATATGCTTTTTTAAATATTCGAGTGGATACACATGTTCTTTATTTTTTTTATGTATTTATCATCCTTTTCTCTTGACCAATGACCCGGCTGGTGGGATAAGCCCATGCATAATGGGCTTCCAACAACTTTGCTGAATCTTCCTCCTCCTGCATCTGAACGCTTAATCACATCTGCATCACAAATCCGTTAAAAACACCTTAATACTTAAGAAAAATAAATAAAATATTGGCTAGTTTCCTTATACTTAAAGCTTAATAATATTGAGTTCTATACCGACTATCAGTGCTGCTGGATAGCTACATTTGGTTTTCCGTTTTTGCCCAAATTACACTGTAACCTAATCCCAGTGTGCAGAAGTGGACTTCCTGTCTGTAGCCATTCCTCCAACTTGTGTTTATCCCCTGGGATACTGCTGTCTCCCACCTTTATCCCTCTACAAACTAATCATTTTTCATGTGTCTTTTCAGTGAACAGACACAGTGCTGTTGTGTTTACTGTTGTTTACTGTACATAGGACATCTATCTGAGTATTCCTGCCACACACATTTATCAATGACTACTTTGGTTAATTCTCTTTCCTCTCACTTTTGTTGCCCTTTCATTGAACTCCTTTTATACTTTTTTAAATGTTTTATTTCCTTCCCCCTCTCTGTCTCTGTTACATTGTAAAGCTGACATACTTCACGCATGTGAAGATCCAGACTCTGTTTTTAGCGGACATCACATGACTGTGTTTTCTGGGTTTTTGCGGGAGGGTTGGGATGCAAATGTTTCTACTTTGTATGATGATCGACAATTGTGTATTTACTGTCTGTTCATAGTAGATTTATATATAAAAGAAATGAGTATATTATATATTATATCTATACATACTGAAATACTATGATCTTGTTTTTGAAGTTGGTATTGAAAAACAATACTTACGGTCAACCCTTTTGTAGGGTGTACCTGAAAGCACCGCTGACTGTCCTTGGTTACGTGTTGATAAGCATTTTTCTGGTTGTCTTTTTGTCTTTTCACACTGATGACTAGTATTTGGCTTTATCCATCCCACTGGTACCAGAGAGCTGCTACAGTAGGGTGCCATTGCTCTCCGCTCAGCCTCACATCCAGGCACATGTTCCTGCTTTTGAACCTTTTGATGCGTCTAGATACCATTGTAGAGCTACCTTTTAAAGTTTCCGTAACTTTAAGAAATGTGAGACAAAATTCTCAATCTGGATTCAACATATCTCAAAAAAGTAGTTTCTCCTTTTTGCAAATCCATCCACTGAAGAGAACAAAAAAAACAAGACGACATTATATGGGTGGACAAATTGAAACACCGCTATGAGCCCTAAATTAAATCCTACATTTTTAACAATGTCTTTGTCAAACAGGAACATATGAAACGTGTGTATACAGGTATGTATATATATATATATATATATATATGTATATATATATATATATATATGTATATATATATGTATATATATATGTATATATATGTATATATATATATACATATACATATATGTTTACATTGTCATAAGCTGATTTACATCTTCTAAAACCGCAATCAGACTTCCAAATAGTTAATTTAATGTTTGTTCATCATTCATTTACTGATTGAATATGACCTCTACTGGCAGAGTAATGCTCTTAAATCACATCAACTACATTAGTCTCCATGACTTCTGCAGATGGCCAGACAGGCCAAAGTTCAGACGGTTGTATTCCTGCTTGTATGATCTACTACTTTGCAAATGTACCAGGAAACAATGGAAATGGACAAAAAGTAGAGCAAGGATGCAAGCAGTTTATGATTATTTATTATGGTTTTAACTCCATTCCATGGATGTGATTTTTCTGTCTGATCCCTTTGAATCAGTCAGCTCCCCAAAAACGTATTTTTGAAAGATTTATTTCTATGACTTTTCTCATGTTAACGTCAAACATCTTTGCCGATAGACATATTTGTGGTTGGATTATGACAATGCGCAAGTCATGCTTTCCAGAATCTCACCTGCATTAGACACGCTGACATCTCAGCTCCTGTAAACAGTTTGGTCGAGGCTTTTTTTTCGGTAAACCAGCCCAGAACTTTCCCAGAAGCGTTGCTCAGCAGTGCCCGTCACAGAGTTTCTGCTTTGGTTTCTCAAAAGATGCCAAAGCTAGCACCGTCTGTCCTCACTGCTTGTCTTAACACAATGTCCAGTAACAAAGAGAAAACATTCCATTATGCTATCATTTCCATTTATTAGGAGGGGTCATGTCTTTCTGTTTGAACCCTCATAGTTCTGACTTCAGTCCTCCTTTCTCTCTGCATGATCCTAACGTCCGCATGCCCCCCCCCCCACCTGTCTTTCTGTCTGTCCCATTCCGCATATCAGCACAAGAGATCGAGCACTGAAGGACATTAGTACTTTTACTGTATCCAAACCGCCTCTTTTACAGCTTTCTTCTTTACGCCGGGGAGGAGTTTGGGTGCTTTCCATGTTTTGCTTTTACCTGTAGGATATGGAAACATGAAAGACTTTTGTTTAACATTTTACAAAAGAAAAAAAAAGTATCTAGCACTTGTAACACAGATGTTAGATTTTGTTGTATTTATGTAGAAAAACAAATTGTTTTGGGGGGATGCTTTGTAAACCACGACGACAGAATGGACACTTTTTTTTATTATAAACCAGGCAGGATGTGACTTTGGTGGAGTCTTGGGAAGACATGTTTTGTTCTTTGTCACATCTGGACTTTTATCAAAGGGCTCCATCCAGGTGCCTGGTCATTGTTACGGTTGTCCATTCCACTAAATAATATGCCAGTTATTGCTATGACCACTGTGGTTAAAACAAACAGTTCTAGGTTTACATATGTATAAAATGCATATTCTTTTTTTTTTTTTTTATCAGATATGTTTTTGACTTGTTCCACCATTGTTACAGAAATAGTACATTTTTCTCGGGAACCTTTGCTCTAACATGTTGTCTTTGACATCTACGATATAAAGTATTGTTTTGGAAAACTGCAATGTCTGTTTTTTATGTTAATAGTGTTGGTTGCTGGCTTTGATTGCAGGAAAAAGGATTATTTACTGTAATGCAAACGTGTCAGAAATGGCAGCAAATGAAGATGAAAATCGATTCAGCAGAGCCAAAGGCCCAATTCCAAACTGACCCCCCATTTGCACCTTCACACTGAGGGTCCACCACATTAAAGGTCCCATGTCATGGCCATTTCTACTGATCATAATTTCATTGTTGAGGTCTACTAGAATAGATTTACATTGTTCAATTTTCCAAACTCACATTAGTTTCTCATACAGCATCTCTGTATAGTATGTGTATTCACTCTCTGTCCTAAACGGCTTGTTGGAACTCCTGCCCCCCCCCTCCCCCCCTCCCTGTGACCCCACTGTGCTCTGATTGGTCTGTTCTGATGAGAATATCACTATGGTCTACCACCGTTACAGCGGAACATCAGTAATTATGTGTTACAATGGCGTTAACGACCAGAAAATGACACCAGTAATGACAAACAGATGAGAATGCTGCGTGGGGTCTGGGTGCCGTGTTGGCGGGACGTTGCGCGGCTCGCTGCTGCGAGGAGCGGACAGTGTGAGCTGGGTTCATTTCCTGCTTGCTGCATGGGGTCTGCGAGACAGCGAGACATCACGAATGGACACGGGAAGGGGGGGAGCTGCAGCACCCCCATCTGCGAGGCTCCACTAGCACCCGCACCCCCAAACGCGGCGCACCTACAGTGTAAGCGCGCCACAGTTGGACCAATGGGTCCATTTTGGGTATGGGCACGTCACCATACCCAGAAAGAACAAAATGGAAAAAGATAAATATCCAACGAGGTTTTCTGGCTCAGCATAGACAGGTATTTTCTGTGTTAGAGTTTTACTCGCTACAGGGTGTACTTTGAGGGTTTGTGACTATGCAGACCGTTTACATGCATAAAAACTTCCATAACACACAAGGGGACGGGTAATAACCGGAAAAGCATGACATGGGACCTTTAAAGCCACGGATTATGTGATAACCAGGAGGGCTGGTACTGAACGTAATTAAACAGACGTTGATTTGAAATTAGGGTAAATGAGAGCATTAATTTTGGATTCTATTATGTGCTCAGTGCAGGGGTAGAAAATGAATTTGTTTCCTGCTACGACGCTGTAGCAGTTTCCCCAGCTAGGGTATTTTTTTGGCCTAATTGCCGCCAGTGGCTAAATCCTACCCATTTGCATCGATCTCCTTTGAAGAGAGATGCAGATGAGCTTAACGAGAGTGATAATTATGCCCGCTCGGCGTGGGGAGCCTGCTGAAACCGCAACTTTGTGTGTGTGCGAGTGTGTGTGTGTGTGCATATTTC